ATTTGCTTCTTGTGTTAATTACATTATTTCAATCGATGTACGACTTACGAGACTAAATAAATTCTGGCGTAACGCAGGAAAAAAAATTTTTTTTTTACGCCGCGTTAAGTAATAACCCAGTTAAAGAAATCGACAATCGATACTTCGCCATTTTTCCCCGCTTACATTCGATAATTTTAATTATTAAAATAAAACGATAATGATAACAATAACAATTTAAATTATTTAAAAAGAAAAAAAAGAGGGGGAGGGAGGTTAAAAGTTAATTTGAATTTTTTTCCCGTAAAACTCGACAGGTACACCGATATCGACTCGTGTATAAGACAAGGCCACAACTATTAACCATCGTTATTATTATTATTGTTTTTGTTGTTTGTTTCGTATTATATAACACATTTGTGGCGATCATCATCATCATCATCATCATCATCGTCGTGTGCGTTTTTTGTCTTCCTTCGAATTTTACACGCGTGTTCAAGAATCCACACACCTGGTTTCACACCGTGTTCTCAAGTCACACTTTTAACGTACACGATCCCAAATTTTTTTCCCCTTTCCCCCCTTTTATTACGTACAGAAAAAAAATTGAGAGAGAGAGAGAGAGGGGAAAAATCTATCGAGTTAAAATATTTTTTTTTTTCGCTCTTTTACTTCTTCTGTAATTGTATTTAAACAGGTATGTTTGTCTCGAGGTCAAAGAAATCAAAACGCTTTATTCTTGACCGACCGTTATTTCCTCTCTTTCTCTTTCTCTCTCTCTCACTCTTACAACATTACTTATTATTATTAACAATATGAATCACTGACCTCTTTACGAATCCAAACCAAATGATGATGATAAAGAAGAAAAAAAAAAAAAAGAGACGGTCGTTAAGATTGTTGTTGTTGAAAATGTAAACAGAGAGAAGAGAGAAAAAACAATCATCTGTAACCTGTAAATAATAAAATAGAAACCAGTCGTAAGTCATTTAAAAAAATTTTTTTTTTTTTTTTTTTTTAAAAAAAAAAAAGATAAATAATGAAAGAAGATGAAAAAATGAATTTGGACGTTTACACACGCACGCACGCACACACACACCGATGCACATCGAATTACATTATTATTATGGTTGGAAAAAAGAAAATGCATGAGAGAGAGAGAGAGAGAGAGAGAAAATTTCTTACATTTAATTAAAGTGCCAATCAATATAAAAAAAAATCCAATTTTCTAATTTTCTAATTTTTTTTTTTTTGTTTGAAAAGCCTAGCCGTGGTAATTTTTTAAATATTTCAAACATACAAAAAAAAAAAAACAAGTATCATTATTATTATTATTATTATTATTATTATTAACATGACGATGATTTCGGTTCTTATTCATCCTGTGTTGTTAACAAATCAACTTGTTCTCATTGGATTATTCGTATTTAAACAGGCGACAAGTAATCCATACGAAATTTTTAACTTTGAGATGCGACCTTTGAAAACAAACAAGCAAACAAACAAACAAACGGTTTTTTTCCCCCCCGGGATAAACCAATGGCCGTTTGCAAAACGATTTTAATTAATTCGGTTTTTTTTTTTTTTTTTAAGATGAGCAAAAGATTTATCAGAGAAAAATTACGTAATGAATTACGAACGACGATGAGGACGACGACGGTGTTAATAATAATAACGCCGATAATAGTCAATATTCAGGTTTTTTAGTTTCCCCCCTCCTCCCCCCTCCCCAGTATACCTGAATATTTTAAGAAATCTCAAACATGCTAATGACCACTAACTACTACACGGCATTGAAACTACTACAATGAAAAATTTTTTTTCAAGTTATTATTAATTTTTTTTTTCCATGTAAAAAAAGGTATCGGTTTTATTTATTTACCCTTTCAAACTTGGTCGTACCTTAAAAAAAAAAAAAAACCGTTTTCACCGTTTTATTTATCGAACAACAATTTAAACAAAAAAAAAAAAAAAAAAAAAATGGAATCGAACATTTGTTAGGTTAGTCGAATAATCCATTAACAACAAATTTTTTTTTTTTTTTTTTTTGTTAACCTCGTTCGTTTATTAACAACAAAAAAAAATTGTTTTCCATAGTTAATTTATCAAATCCCTTTTGGATATTATTATTTATATTCGACATTGTTTTTCCTCCCTACCCCCTCTCCCCTCCCCGTTTCTTTTTTTACATTAATTAAAACGAATGAAATAAATTTTTTTTTTTTTTCTGAACAGACTAAAAGAATTTTGATTAATTAAAAAAAAAAAAATTATATTTTCGTTAAGCATTAATTTGATGAACAAGTGAATTAATACGACGTAAATTATTATTATTATTATTATTATGTAAATAAATAAATCAACATTAAATTTATTAACATGTAAAAAAAAAAACTGGTAGGTAGGCATTCCCAATTGTTTTAATCAAGGTTATAAAAAAACTTATTGATTATTCACGAAGGTTATGTAAGTAAAAAATATATATATATATTATTTTAATTTTTTTTTAATTAAAATAAATATATATATTTAAATGCCATAGTTTTTTTTTTGTTTTCGACTCACTATCAAAATAATAATAATAATAATAATAATAATAATAGAAATTTTGACATTTTAAGCGTGCAGCAATGTCACTCAAGGTATATTATAAACCTATCTCGTAATAATAAAATTTACAGTGTGTAAAAAAAAAAAAAAAAATATGATTGTTGATATTTTACAACTTGAATAATATTGTTATTTTAAATTTGATACAATTTTTTTTTTTTTTTTTAACAACAACAAATCAACCTGCAGTCACATAATTTGAGGTGACAACTAACAACTCATCGTTTTAAAACAATGCATTTCAAATAAAGTTTTACTTTAATAAATAAATTTATTGTGATTAAAATTCGACAACATGCAAGAGAAGAGAAAAGATATCTCGATGATTTTTATAAATTAATACTTAATAAATAAATATTCATCATGAGCATGTTAATAACAAATTGAAAATTTTAATTTTTTTTTCATCGAGTAACTTAAGCAATCCTTTGTGATACAATCGTCAAATTAGTTTACGAAATGAAAAAATTTATTAAAATGATACAAAAGTTAAATTACATTGTTTGTAAATAAAATTTTAACTATCAAAAAGATTGAAAAAAACAATAATGGGTATTATTGGAATTGTTACAATTTCAACGATTGTTCTAATGATAAAAAAAATAATTGATTATCGATAATATTCGATTTAGATTTTAAACTAGGGATAATGGGTAATAAACAAAAAAAAAATTATTATGAACACAATAACAATGGTTAAACAAAAAAAAGTTCTTGATGACAGTTACAAAAAATTTACTTTTTATTTCTAATGACTTAAAAAATTATAAGTCAAAGGCTATTAAAAAAAAAAAAAACCTAATTTAATAACCTAATAATAACCTTCATCGTTTTCACTAACGCTTAAAACCTTTTTAAATACATGGTCTACATAAAAAAAAAAAATTATTTATATTTACATGTTAATAAATTTTAAAAAAAATAGATACACTCTAAAAATTTTTTTTATTTTAAATAATAATTTAAAATAATAATAATAATAATAATAATAATAATAATGGGAATGATCATTAACATTGTGCCTAGTGGAAGATAATAATTTTAACTATATATAATGAATTTTGTCAAGGTTTTTAACATTTTGTCAAAAATAAAAAATAAATTTATTTTAATAACTGTCACAAATAATAATAATTTAAAACAAAAATAATATTAATAATAATTACATACCATGTGAAGTTTTTTTTAAGTTTTATGATTTCTTCATAGTGTAAATAAATAAAATTTTTATTCAACAAAACTTTTTTGCAAATCGTTTCATTTGATTATACAAAATAAGAACACAATTAATTTACAATAAAAATATAATAATAATAAAAATATAAACTCGATTTAACGATTTATTCACTATTAACGATTCACAGCTGACAAATCATATTATAAGACTAAGCGTACAAAAACGGGAGTGACCTTGGAATAATATACTATTTTATTTATTTATAAAATTTAAAATTAAAAATGAAATTTTACTATTATTATATCAAACACGCGATATTTCTTACTAAATATTAATATAATTCAAATAAATTTAATCGTTGTTGTAAAACATATTTGCTAATAAGATATTAAATTCTTTCACAAACTACGTGTAAACAAAACTAATGCTAATCTAAAACTAAATCTTGAAGGAACAGTGCTGCCAATCAACTCTCGAATTCGAATAACGGCTCGCAAAGTGCGAGATTTTTTTAACGTTTTTATACGTTCACTTGGTTTATAGTGGCGAGATTTTTTTTTTTTTCTTCCATTCGTTTCGAGTATGTATGTAATTTTATTAATTATTTTCATTCTAATTAAAATTATTTACTTTAAAAATATTAAATCATTTTTAAATTCTATTGAAATTATATACATTTACACGTAAAAAGTAAAAGCATATTTGATTTTATTATTATTTGAAAAATGTACGTTTTTTTAACTTGCTTCCATTTTGAAACATTTATAAGTAATTTATAATATCAATATCTTGATTTGAAATTTTTTAAATTTTATGTTTAAATATTGTTTCAGGGTCGATTATAATATATATTTTCACGTTTTGTACAATCAAAAAACAATATTTTTTGTATGCCCTCTTGAAAATAAGGATATGCAATTTAACGATAGATGTGAAAATATTTAAGCATAAACTTTATAAGGTATATATAATTTTCTTAATTGGTTATATTTTTATTTTTATGTGATGATTAAGTGATAATTAAAGTAAAACTACATATAAATACTATTTTAGATTTTTTTTTTTTGTATGCATTGTGTGCATTTTTATCAAGTTCATCATGTATTATGTTTCTCATGATGACTGTTGTGTAGCTGTAGCTTTAATAAATCACATGTATTATGGTAAGAATTAAATTTTTTTTGTGTTATTCAGGCAATCGAGATCAAGAAAATTTACAATAAAGTAATTTTTTTTATTTTTCAGGCATCTGACATTGAAAACAATGATCCATTTTATCTTGAAATTCTTCAACTTGTAGTGTCATTTCAAAAAAGTTATATTTAGATCTTATGCATTTTGAAGCAGTGGTGAGTATTTTTTGAGGATTAACTCCTGGTTCTGTAAGAAAGAAAAAAAGTATATAAGCGTGAATTTGAATAGATAAATAATCAAAAGAATTGATGATGATGTTCTTACTAATGGCAAGATGAGCAGAAAGTGCAATTTTATCCAAACTCAAAGCCCATATTCTTAAACTGTGAACTTTTACAACTCCTTCAATGCTTAAAAAAGTTTCTGTTACTTGTACAAAATCAATTCCTTTTGGTAATCCTTCCATTAACACATTTATGGTATCTTGAATAATTGCAAAAGTCGTTATTATAACAAGAATTGAAAACAAAAAAGTGCAAATTGGATCAACAATAATCCACGTTGGCTGAAAAATAAATTTTAAAAAATATTCAAAGTGAAATTTTTCCCATAGTTTTCACAATAAAGAAAATAAGAGAAAATACTTTGAAAAATATAATTAAAGCTGCAACAAGAACGCCAAAACTTTGTATAAAATCTCCAATGATGTGAATAAGAGCTGCTCTCACATTAATATTTTCCTTTTTCGAATCCGTATGTGAATGTCCGTGATAATGAAGGGAAAGTCCCATTCTAAAATTTAAATATGGCGTTCAGAAAAAAAAAAAAAAACAATTTTTAGTAAACTAACTGCATTTTAGAGTGACCAGAAACTCTAATGCATTTACAAACAATTATTTCTGAAATTAATTTTAGTTTTACAATATAAAACATTTAAAACTGACATTAAATTGATAACAGCACCAATGGCGGAAGTTATGAGCATGAGTTGAGCATCCAATTCAAATGTTTCACTAATAACTCTTTGTATTGCCAAATAAACCAATATACCAGTTACTACCCATATCAATAAAACGGAAGTTAAAGCACCTATAACTTCAGCTCTATACCATCCTAAAATCAAAAAAAAATTCTTCTTTTATTTATTTATTTATTTATTATCTTTGACCTTTGATTTAATTTTATTTTAAACAATAAATTAAACAGTTTTTAATTTTTTATTTTTACCAAATGACATTTTTCTCGTTGCAGGTCTTGAAGAGACCCAAAGTGAAAATAAACTTATCATGAAACTGGCAAAATCCGTTAATAGATGTGCTGCATCCGTAGCAATTGCCAAACTATTCGATAAGTATCCTCCAACAGCTTCAGCAATCATAAACATCACACACAGAACTGAAACTATTATGAGTTTCCTTCTGGCAACTTTATCTACTTCAGGCAATTGGTTGTTGTGACAATGTTCATTTTCTAAAAAAAAAAAAAAAAACATTGCTTCGAACGTTTGTTTCGAGCCCCTTGAGATGAATTTTGCAGGGGGGGGGCAACGCCTCAACATTATTATTGAGGGACACTGTTACGTTTGTTATCGTACCTAATGACGAATATTCCTTCACACAATCATCAATGCAAACAAACAAATCGTTCAGTAAGTACAAAAAAATCCGATGATAAAATAATAATTAATAAATAATTAAATTTTAATAATATTATTATTATTATTATTAGATTTTGGAGCGTTTAAATCATTTCAAATATTTTTTTTTTTTTAGCTGTTTGTACTCGTAGGAACTCAATGTTTGTTTAATTACGTAAATCATCACATGAAATTTTTCAAGGCAAATTAATAATAATAATATTAATTAATCGTCGGAAAATTTACGGAAATGCACAGGTAATAAAAAAAAAAAAAATTAAATATTTAATTACCAAAATTTGAAAACGATATGCTATTCCTTTGAGTCGTTGGTGTTGTTGTTGTTGTTGTTGGTGTAACAACTTTCCCATAGTCATCATCTTTGCAACAATCATTCGGATTACCGTGTATGCAATAAAATATTTTTTTACCCGAATTGAAGTTTGTTGAAGCATCCGTTCTTCCGTCCATGCCATAGTTGGGTCCTTTAAACTCTCTGAAATTAAAAAGTTTTTTCTCTTTTTCTTTTTTTCTTTTTTTTGCTTAAACCAAACAACAAAATAAACAACCTAATAAAACCAACGACTGCTTACGTCTGTAAAACCAAATACAGTCGTCTCACACTTACAACAACGATTTATTTTCATCGCCCATATTTTACAAACAACATGATAAGACTCTCACAAATTCATTTATCAAAAAAAAAAAAAAAAAAAAAAATTTTTTTTTCTTTCTTTTCAATTACGCTCGTTTGATAATATTTAAGATTCTTAAGAAAATATTATTATTATTATTATTTTATTTCTTTTTTAAATAAAAATTTAACTTCGTGAGTGAGTGAGTGCGCGTGTATTTTCTTATTTGATAAGATGTTTCTCACGTGTGTGTGTGTGTAACTTTCCTATCGAAAATAAATTTTTTCCTAAACGAAATCATTATTGCCCATTATTATTATTAATTAATAATGATGACGTGTATTTATGTACATAAATATTATTAAAACGTTTGAAAATAAATTAATAGTACGTTTTAGTGTATTCTCCTGATTTTTATTTAAAAACGATAGCTTTAAGATATGATATGATAAGACTCGTGATAAGTTTTGATAACATTGATAAGAATAAAAATATTAATATTAAATAATAATAATAATAATGATATTATGACCATTCGAGTGCGTTTATAAAATTATTAATATTATTTTTTTTTTTTTAAATTATGAACATGACGTCATCGTCGTATTTTTTTTATACAACAGGGCATAATTAATAATAATAATAATTATTATTATCAAAAACTGATAACTGTTTTTGTATAGTAAAAAAAAAAAAAAAACACTGACAACTTACTGCGTAGATATTTTAGTTAAAAATTCTAACCTTTTCACTCTAAAATCATTATTTTTATTAATGACCATTTTATATCATTTCATAACACAAAACTAAATAATGATGATGATGATGATAAATACACGAATAAAAAATTTAAAATCGATAAAATGTGGACGGACGAAAACAAACAAATAATAATAAATAAATAAATAAATTAATTAATTAATTTTAATTTTACAAATTTACATTTTTAAATCGACATAAAAACATAACGCAAATATTATTATAAATGAAAATTATTATTATTATTATTATTATTATTATTATTATTATTA